TCTTATTTAGTATATATTATAATTATTTTTTAAAAGTAAGAATAAAATAAAAATAAACTTATTAAATGACATTCTAAAAAAGAAAAATAGACACCTAAATTTAAATGTCCCAAATAAGAAACTAATTTTATTAAAATTGAATGAAAGTAGTATTAGATATTTAAACAATTTTATCAATAATCTACATATTTTAAATTTTAAAATGTCTTAAGTTTTACCTTATTTTTCAATGTCAAAAGATAATATTATAGATAAAGTGCCCGTTTAATTTACCTCCTAAATATTACCCCAAAAAAAAGTACAAAACTATATTCATTTTAATAAATTCTCACTAAAAAAATTTAAAATACCTCATCCTAGCTTGAATTAAATTATTTTTGATATTTTATTATAATATTATTAAAAACTGCTTAATTTTAAGGTGAATAACCAGTACTCTCAATGTTATTTCCATTTCTAGCTATATGATCCAAAATCATAATCCTCCTTTATGATCCCCCAAAATAAGAAAAAGAAAAAGAAAAAAAAAAAAAAGGCTGTACGGTTATGGCTTCAAACTAAAGGGCCATTGAAAATGGATGATCAAATCTCAACCACTACACTATCCAAAAACAAAAATTCTTATTACCAAGCACTCACCTTTTAAAGCTGCACCACACCTCCTGAGCCAGTTTTATCCTTCTATGTCATTTTCAGTGCACTAATAAACCTCGATAATCCACTTCCTATTTTTCAGTGGCTCTGGTGCTGCTGCTGCTGCCTACCTACCCCCCACCCCCTACTGCCACATAATATTCCCCTTTACCTCGCACTTTAGTTTCTGACACTTAACATACTCTTATTGAGGAAAACTGGTGCGTCGCGTTTGTTTTGGCTCCGACGCCGTTGACGGAGGCTCATCACATCTGAGATCAGAGGTAGTTAATTATTTGGATTCTTCAACTGTTGATTGTCTCTGTTTGCTTATTAATGCGATCGAATTCGGTTTTTCTTTAAGGATCGGGGACTGCTAATGCTTTTGATTTCTCTGCCTTTTCGCTACTCTAGTAAATCCATCCATCATTGATTCGATTCGTCAATTCTTCGTTTTTTTGTCTCCTGAACGTATTTTTGCGTTCTGTGTTTTTCTTGAGCTGTTTAGTCCGGTGATTTAATGGCAAACTATTGTTTTGGAGGTATGATTTTCTCTGATGTTTAATGTCAATGTTTGGAGAGGGAAACTACACTGAGATTGCGTGATTCTCCAATGGTCTGGTTTTTTTTTTTCATATTTGGTTACTGTTGTGTTGATCTTTATTCAAATGTGTCTATTCTGTTTGATTTTATGTTTCTTTTCTACTTCATGAAGTTGATCTCTGCTGATTTTTAGTGATTTTGTTTAGTTGTTGAAATCCATTACATACAATCTTTTTCTCGATGGTAAATGGTAATTCATGCTTGGAAGTTGAAATGAATTAGTGGAAACATTGTGGATCAGTAGTCAGTTGCCTTGGGGTTGTTTACTCATGAGTGAAAGTACTTTTGCTATGGTTTTTCCATATATCATTCAGTATCAAGAACGAGAAACAAAACGACAGGAAGGGGAAAAAAAATCTAATGCCTACAAGGTTATAATTTTCTGTGTTTTATGGGTTAAAGACTGAATTTATAGGCTACTTCATTTTCCTTTCCCCGTGTTTCTCAGTTGCAGGAGTGTCTCTTAGGAAGTAGTGTATTATGGGGCTTAAGGCATTAGACTATGAGTCACTGAATGAAAATGTAAAGAAGGTTCAGTATGCTGTCAGGGGGGAGTTGTATCTTCGAGCTTCTGAACTTCAGAAGGAAGGAAAGAAGGTATATTTGCATCCCCTATTGTGATTTTGTTTCAACATGTTTTTTCACATTTCGTTGAATTGTCTTACGGCTGCTATCTTTGTACCTCCAGATTATTTTCACTAATGTTGGTAACCCTCATGCTCTGGGACAGAAGCCACTGAGCTTCCCTCGTCAAGTATGATACTTTTATTTCCTTTTGGTTTACTGTTGCTCATGCAGTTTTTATGGTCTTTATTAAGCTGAGAAAATGTGCTGCTGCAGGTTGTTGCTCTGTGCCAAGCTCCATTTCTGTTAGACGATCCTAATGTGGGGATGCTATTTCCTGCAGATGCAATTGCAAAAGCAAAACACTATCTTACAATGACTTCTGGTGGTCTAGGTATATTATCACTTCAATTGTGGGTAAAAGAATTGAGTTTGACCTGCCTGAGATAACACTCTAATTGAATAACCTGAGTCTTATTTCTTGTGGGAATATAAATATATAAGATGCAATGGTGCTAATAATTCATTTGATCGTATTGCTGATTTCTGTTAATCTTATGTTTCCCTTAACAATATTATCTTTTTAAATTCCAATCCCATCAATTTAGTTAGATTACAACTATGCTTTTGTATGTTTCCTATTTTCTACCAATAGTGCATAGCTGATTAAGAACAGTTCCAATGAGTTCTTAGAAATTAGAAGTTTGAAGATTGATATCATCCAGAAAGGGAATTACTTCTGTTCCTTCACTATATGTTCAGGTGCTTACAGTGACTCCAGAGGTATTCCTGGGGTAAGGAAGGAGGTGGCTGAGTTCATTGAAAGGCGTGATGGGTACCCTAGGTGATAATGCTTGCTGCTAATGATTATAATTTACAGTTCTGAAAAAAGCCTTTTCAACATTCAGCAACCAAATTAAAGGCTAAATTTGCCCTCCACCCCCCCCCCCCAAAAAAAAAAGGGAGAGATTAAAGGCTGAAGTTTTTGTTTACTCTCTTTCCAATGTCAGTGACCCAGAACTCATATTTCTGACTGACGGTGCTAGCAAAGGTGTGATGCAAATCTTGAATTGTATTATTCGTGGTGAAGGGGATGGGGTAAGAAATCTTGAGTTGCTTATACACTGTACCATTCTTTGGAGATTTTCTGTCCTTGTGCTTATTCAGATACGTCTTGTTTAATAATATTTACATTGCCAGGTTTTGGTTCCAGTCCCACAGTATCCTCTTTACTCAGCTACAATATCTTTATTTGGTGGTTCGCTTGTTCCATATTACCTTGAAGAGGGTGCAAATTGGGGCCTTGATGTTAATGACCTTCACCAATCAGTTGCCCAGGCTCGCTCTAAAGGAATAACTGTCAGTATGCTTTTGTCACTTCCTGATCAAATGATATGAGAAATCTGGTTAGAAACAACCATGAACATAAAAACTGAATCCATGGATGGATAACTAAGAAGCGTGAATAAGAATCAACAGGCAGCTAATGTATCTGCATGCATTTCACAAAATATTCTGACTTAGAAGTTGCTAAGCTGTTTTCAGTTATTCCTCTGAAAATTTTCCATTAATCAATTTTGATTTATTAGTTAAACATCTAACTTTATTTTGTTATGCATTTTTGTGGCCTAACTACTGATTATTTTTTATTGGTATTGCCATCTGAAAGTCTCTTACATGCTAGAATATGATCAGGTGAGAGCAATGGTTATCATTAACCCTGGAAACCCTACTGGTCAGTGTCTAAGTGAAGCCAATTTAAGAGAAATATTGCGCTTCTGTTTCCAAGAGAACTTAGTTTTACTTGGAGATGAAGTTTATCAACAGAACATATACCAGGATGAACGTCCCTTTATCAGTGCCAGAAAGGTAAATATACGTCTGTTAGGTCCAACTAAATTGTCAGTCATTGTTTGTGGTTCAGCTTGCATTAATTTCACTGTTCCTTATCATTGAAAGGTTTTGATGGATATGGGACCACCCTTGAGCAATGAAGTCCAACTTGTTTCTTTCCACACTGTATCTAAAGGATATTGGGGTGAATGTGGCCAGCGAGGTGGATACTTTGAGATGACTAACATTCCTCCAAGGGTTTGTTTTGTTTCAATTCCCCAATGATATTTTTGAATGAGTTGCAAGTGTGGAATTTCTCAGGATGTTAAGATATGATAAAATAAACTATAATTGTTCAGACATTTTTTTAATTGAAATTTACAAACTAGAATAAATAAAATGTTAGATAATGTGAATATGTTGTAATACTAAGTCATGGATCATGTAGAAGACTGAAGATGATATAACAGGATGTCCTAACTTTGGGTTGTTGTACATCAAATGCTGTTATTTTTAATGTTAGTTCTAATTACAAACAAACAGCTTCACCATGTAAGCAAATGCATGCATACACAACCTTTCAAGTCTAGTTGTTCTTCCAACTTGACATGGAGAAACTTCTCAAGCACAATATGGATTCTTCAATTGAAAATGTGGCTAAAACTGTTGGTGCTCATGTTCTTTTTTTTCTTTTTATTGCAGACTGTTGATGAGATCTATAAGATTTCATCAATATCACTCAGTCCAAATGTTCCTGCTCAGATATTTGTGAGTTGGATCAGAATATTTGTTCTCGTTCTATTCTTTCAATTATCAGTTTTCTGTTTGAATATTTTGGCAGTGGGATAAACAAGCTTCTTCATTGACAGATGGGGTTAATGGTTAACCCACCCAAACCTGGAGACATTTCATATGATCAGTTTGTTAGAGAAAGGTCTGTCATTTTCCATGAGTCAATGCTTTTTTTTTTTTTTCTTCTGATAATTAAGCAAAAGATATATTTTGAAATCTTTAAGGTTTTTGATTGTCAAATCAAAATGATACTAGATTTTGTTGCATTTGCTATCATTTAGACATTTTTATGCAAGGTACTGAACAGAGGGTTTTCTCATAATTAATAACACTGTATATGGAAAGACTGAAAAAATACTATAATTGTAAAGGTGGTTAGAACATTATGGTGTTGATTACCTAAACAATAATGGTGTCATCAGTAGACTCCTTGAGCTTTGAATAACAGTATTCTGTCAAATATGCAGCAAAGGTATCCTTGAATCACTTAGAAGGAGAGCAAGGATAATGACTGATGGATTTAACAGCTGCAGAAACGTGGTTTGCAATTTTACGGAAGGTGAAGCTGCTTTCAACTACTGTGACTCTTATCGTTTTTGAGATTTCTCCTTAATATTTACTAGCTGCTCGTTGTATAGGTGCTATGTATTCCTTTCCACAAATACGCTTGCCACGTAAGGCCATAGAAGCTGCCAAAAAGGCGGGAAAAGTTCCAGACGTTTTCTACTGTCTGAAGCTATTGGAAGCTACTGGCATTTCCACTGTCCCTGGTTCAGGATTTGGACAGAAAGAAGGGTAATTATTTCAATTTAATTTCTTTTCCAAGTATTCATCAGGTAGAATATAACAACCGGCTATCCTATTATGTTAAATGGTTTTTTTCTACTGAATCTACTCTACTACTACCCCTTTACCTGACTTGTGTTAGTTAAATAACGTTTCTTGAATGTGATTGAATGAATTTATTGTATCCAAACAGGGTGTTCCACTTAAGGACAACAATTTTACCTGCGGAGGAAGACATGCCTGCAATTATGGCTAGCTTCAAGAAATTCAACGACGAGTTCATGGAGCAATATGAAGACTATAGGAGCTATTCAAGGATGTGAGATGCATAAATTCCTTGGAATTGTACTAGATTAATTGATTGGCTATCGCCAGCAATTCCTCCATGCTCAAACTTGATTTCTTTTTCTCCTTGTACAATATAAACTTCCCCCTGTTGAAGATTACCCCACATACAAGTTCTTGAACCATAGAAATAAAGGACTTCGCTTCTGATTCATGACCAATTGCTAGATCAGAATATAACTAATCCAACTCATACTATGATTGTTATGTCATATTCTCATTTCTTTGTGTTGATGACCATTTCTCACAAAGCCTTTTTCAGGACCGAAGAAAAGGTACACCAGGTGAAACCCCAGAAAGTGCCCTATACCCGGATAAGTTTCATTTTCATAGCCATCTCTTCGAGCCTACCATGAACATGATCAGTATTGGGCCTAGGTAGGGCCTGTGCTCTGGATTGAGTAATTTTCTCATAATCCAAGTCTTTTTTAAAAAAAAATTTGAAGCATAAGCAAGGCATGTGCTCCGGAGAGGGCAATTTTTCTCTTCCTGAATCCATTTTTGTTAACTTCTAAGATCTAGCTAAGCCTCAATGGTTCTGCCCCTGCTCCCCTGCCACCTTCATTAAAAATTTTACAAACCCCTTTACCTTATCTTACCAGTGGACCAAAACAGTGTCATGTTCCCTCCAATTTTCCCGAACATAACTACAATTCTAGTTTGGTTTTTAGCTGCTGGGACATTAATTAATGCATAAATGGGACTGTGTCTGAATTTTTGTTTTCTTTCCTTTTTCCTTTGGACAAACACAAGTTACACAATCTATTACTAGATAGAATATCAGAATCCTTGAAGAATCCCCTGTGTGAATGACGCATACTGCGGTAATGTGTACGTCACAGCGTGTGTCTAAAATTTCAAACATGAGCGTTTTCTGCAATTGGCATGTGGATTTATATTGATTGTACGGCCACCTGTGACTCGGTGTGTCCTTGCAGCTGATTACAGTTTGGTACAACTTTGTCATTTACTCACCTTTTTCCCTGCAGATTACCGACGGGTCATGCAAACCAAACATCATCACCACCACCAACCATGTTTCCTTCGGAGGTAGTTTTTTTTTTTTTTTTGCAGTGTAGATTGTATATATGCTATATAATGAGAATTTTTGAATTTTGGGAAGTCTTGTTGTTCCTTGAAAAATTTTCAATCTCTGCATCATGTTATAAAATCAAATAAAAATAATCATCAATGTATTTATTAGAAAATATTAATAATAAAATATCACTAAAATTGACATGAAA